TTCTAATTGCACCGCCCTGACAAAACAGAAGGAAGATGCGTCCTGGCACATAAAGAGTTACAAAAGTATACAATTCGGATGTGAATTTGATGGAAAACCAGGTGGAGCCCCCAGTGAAAAAAACTTCGGACAATTTAACAAACATACTATAAATCCGGATCACCGCTGCTCGTTTTCTCCTGCTTCTACAACGCAGCATTGGTTTGGAGCTAAATGTGACGTGTAACTTTTTGCGAATTAATTTCCTTTCCCAGAAAAGGAAACAGAGCCAACTGAAAGCAAGAAAACATCGGAGCATGGCTAAGAACTAACAATGACATCATGTACCTCCAAGTTTGGCCCAATTAGGAGTTGAACTTGAACTAAACGTTTAATATTTAAGATAGTTACATTGACTGTTTATCACAGAGGAATGCAGACATGCACAAGAGCGACGTCATAAGCAACCTTAGATACAGAGCATCCATATTTTAATAGTTGAAGGATGTGGGCGGTCTCTCTACAAACACTTTTTACCTGCACTTTCATCTTTTCATGTAATGTTCAATAGATAATACACTTACATCTTAAAAGTGAAAGATAGATAAAATATTCGTCTTTGAAAACGCATTCAGAGCTCACCATTAGTCGATTGATGCAAATTATTTTCAAGCAAGTGACTAATCGTAAGTTGAAATGCTTGTGTTTAGATTCAGAGATGTTTAAATACCTCCGTATGCTATTAATCTAATTATGACATGTTTTGTCGTCGTAGGGCGACATTTTCTTGACTCGGTCAATCAACCGTTTTCTCTTAACTGATAATTAAAAATTAGCTTCGGCTTCGTTAGTTTGTGCATCAGTAAAACCAAGCTTTAAGTTTAGGTTTCTTACTTTCGATGAGGAGAAATGGTATTTACTTAGTGGCAGAGAGATGTTAGTAATTTCTCCTAAGTGATAAATATGTACAGCTTTGCTTGATTTTAATATTAGGGACTCGATACATAACTGTGAGAAGCCCTCAACAGCCTCTCTTTCACAAGGACTAAGGTACTTAAGTGCTTCGTTAGGATCACTGCTTACTTTAGAACTTTCCACATTTGTTCATAAAACAATTTTTGAAATGTTCAAAATGTAGGAGATGAAGTAGGTATAGTAGTTGGAGCAGGTGTTTGTCAAGAGAAGCACCAGTGAAGTGTAAAGGTCATTCAGGATTGTTGTACATAATGTGAGATATCATCTTATTATATTGTAAGTGCCCCTATAGCACGAGTTTCTGTTCATTGTTTTATTTGGTTAATAATCTTTAAAGTCACACTAGGTGGCTCGTCACGCGCTCTTAAGTGTAATTCAATATATTTGATAAAAGGCCTTTTGATCAGTTTTTGGTAAGCACTCGTGCTCGTAAGGAAAGGAATTAGTAAAGGAAAGGAAGGAAAGGTTCGATCGATATCAAGTCTCGCCAGATTCGGCAATAATGTAAGTTTGATTTACCTGATGCATTTCTTAATCTATTTGCGTGTCCCTAATTTCTTAAATCAATCTTTAGTTTCACGGTATAATACAATAATAAAGAAGAAGGCGTTCCCAAAGAAGTTTGGTGCGGTACGTTGTATTGATCAGTGGATTTTGTGTGGTCCAGCTAGCGGTGGACAAGCGCCGCTATACATATTATCATATTAGTTGTGAACGATTGTCACTCATCGTAATGTTACGAACTTGTGTTCGTCTATTTCAAAGTCGCATTCCAGACTTTTACTTTAAGCTTGTGGATTTATAGCGACTTTACACAGTTGGACACGCTGTCAATACATTATTAAATACAAATCCAAGTGACCATGAAGCAAAATTTGTTTTTCTTTAGTTGTGAAGTTTACCATTTGAAATCGACGTTTCCGAAGTTTGAAACGTTCAATAATAAAATTGAAAATTTTGGAAGCTTTTAAAGTTGTGCCATTTTCCCCTCAAAAATGGTATTCGAATTGCGCGGCCAAAGCACCATTAGACAAAAAACCAATGACGTCACTTTGGTAACATAAAATCAAATTCAGTATGGCGAATAGTATGAAAGATACACGGCAACGAGGGCGATATTATGTTGCTGGTGCCCCGGCTCTGACCAGCAAAGCTGTCAGAATAGATCGTTCCGGCACCGGGCATAGAATTTTTCAGTTCCCGAGAGATCCTCATTGTGAGAGGAAAATGGGTGAAATTTGTCTGCAGACAAAGACACGATCTTAACGATCCAAACTGGCGGTAAACGACGCTTTGTTGGGCAAATTTTGAACAATTATGCTATGAGCAAAACTTGTTGTTATAAAATAATTAAAATAGTACGCGCGCTCTGATTGGCCATAAAACCATTTTACATGAGCGCATGTAAACACGATTTTCGTTCCTCTTTCATTAGTTATTTTATAAAAGAAATGTAAAATGGTTTCCGTGTTTACATAGCCTGATGTAAACACGCGGGAGGTTGGGAGAATACGAGATAAGCGTAGGAAACCACAACGCGAAGCGGATTGGTTTCCAGCTTATCGAGTGCTACATTTCTTCAATATTAAACAGCATGATGGAGGCCCAAGAGATGAAGATGAAGCGCTTTTTGAGAAACGACATAGTGCCAACCAGGGACACTAGTTTTGTGCGTGGTGTAAATTAAATTTGAGTGTTTTTGTACCGTTTCCTTAAATTGTTTTTCTATTTTTTCTCTTCGCATACTAATGCTGCTTAAAAAAAGTCATTCCAAACATTCAGCTCCTTTAATATACAAATAACCTAAAAGGAACTCAGTTGAAATATCATCAAAGGTGGCGGATACAGAAGTAAGGAGGTTGAGTGACATAATTTCCAATTGGACTGTTTCTCAGTTTTTGAACCTTTGCATTTGTGGACTCCTTTATAGAGAGTTCAGCCAAAAATAAAGAGCTGGAGTCGGATCGACCATCATTCATAATTCGTGTTCAATTGCCTCTTTTAACTGTGGCAAAGTCAATTCCTCTCTGGAAACGAAGGAAAAATTCCAATAGCGAGAGAATGAGTTTTGTCACCTAGCTGTAAGTATCTATATTTCTGAATGAAAGACAATTTAAAGATTAAAAGACTATTGGCTATCTCCTTTGTCTGTCTCTGGTATCTACCGCTTCTTGTTGTGAAATTGCTTGATTTTTTTGTGATCACTATTCTAAAGATAATTAAAAGACACATTGCGACGTATATCCTCCCACGGATTTAAAAAAAAGAAAAAAAGAAAAAAAAAGGTGAAAATCCTTTTTTTTTAGCTATTAAGACACTTCTGAGGAGGACTATACGAAAAAAAGGACTATTCAACTGAATCAGACTCAACTCTCCTTGGAAACATACGGAAATACCGTGGTCAATTTTTTTCCTTCTAATTGTGGAGACAACGAGCTTTGACATCCAACTGTATGTATCGATCTTTCTCGATGAAAAACACCTCATGGCGAGCTCTTTTGATTGTTTTTGGTCTCTTCTAGTTTAATTGTTTTGAGTGATAGAAAGGTGGAAGTGTTTGCCTCATATTGAAGAGCAAAGCAAAAATTGGAAAAGTCAGAGGAGGCATCCTGGCACATCAGGGTTTGTGGTAGCATTGAGAGGGGATGTGAATTTGATGGAGGAGCAGGAGGACTCATCAACAAGGAAGACAATTTCGGGGAGTATGGCTGCAACGATAGCAATCAGGATCACCGCTGCTCGTCTTCGCCTGCTTCCACAACCCAGCACAGGTGTTGAGCTAAATATGATTTATGACTTTTTGTGGATTCATTTTCTTCTTTAGAAAAGGAAACTCAGCCCACAAAATACCACTCTGAGAAACCATTAGAGCAAGGCTAAGAACAAACAATGACATCATATGTATGCTTTCAAATGTGGTCCTCCTCAGGAGTTGAACTTGAACTAAACGTTAAATATTTCAGATGGTTACACTGACTCTTTATCAAAGAGGAATGTAGACAAACACAAGAGCTATGTCGTAAGCAACCTTAAATACTCAGCATCCGTATCTTAATATTTAAATTTTGCGTTTTTAGGCGGTCTCTCTACAAACGCTTTTTACCTTGACTTTCACTATTCAAGTCATGTTCCATAGATAACACTATTACATTTTAAAAGTCAAAAGCTCGATAAAATTGTCTTCTTTCACATTCGTCGTTGAAAAGTCGTCTACTTTCAATCTTTGAAATTTTTTGTTCAATGAGAAAATTCTAAGTATGAATGAAATAAAAACTTCATATCATGGAAAGTGCGATGCATCAAAATACTTATTCATTCGCTGCGCTCACTTCTTCACTTTTTTTGGTGTATCGCAACCCGTGAATAAAACTCGTTCGTACGCACTTTCCATAGAATAATCTCTATGTATTTGAGATAGTTGGGGGTGAACATGCAAAATCATAATCCTATTCTGACTCGTATTGTTCTCTATTGGACAAGAGCTGCCAGATTTCGGTCCAAAAACACGGTAACTCCATACTCTGAATGGCTACATTGTACATGCGTGGGTGGCCGATTAAAATGCCCAGAATTATCTGGAATCCAGTTCAAACGCACGCAACATTGACATGTTAGTCATCAATAATGGCGAAATGGTGGATGAAAGCCTCTGAATTGGCTGAAAACCTCAATTAATGTGGGGCCCGACAGATTGACGTAAACCGATCCGCAAATAGGGACTTTAGGGACGACGGCGAGCGGAAGTTTAAAATATTTGCTGGCGCATTTCCGGTAGCTGGTGCGCGAAGTTTTCCACCTTAGCTGTGTTGTCTGCGACGTCAAAACGAAGTGTTTGTCTTTTGTCTAAAACGTAAGTAAGTTTCTTTTACTTTAAGGTCATTTCAAATGAACTTATCATATATTTTCAATATATAATGAACTGTCAACATTTTTCCTAACTTGTGACAAATGTAAATGGTTGTAGAACTCATTCAAAGACGAAAACTGACCGAAGTTTCTTTCTCCTTCTAAACAGCTTCAAACGTTCGTGACTCAAATAGGCTGAAATGGAGACGAGTTCAAATAAGAAAGTCCAGTAAGTTGTTTTCAATTCATATTCGTAATGAGTATTAAAACTAAACCAGGAATTTAATCAAAATGATTTACCCGAGTTTTTTTAAGGAAAAAAATCGCTGAAGCTAAACATTATTGTAGTTTTTCAGATTCAAAGTCAGTGAGCTTGCTGTTAGAGAAAGAAACATATTGCTGAGCGAGAAATTTAAAACAAAGATGAAAGAAGAAGAGAAGGCAAGTGGAATTGAATGTCATTTGAAAGGGGTTGGAAAAGGCTCTGGAAGAAATAGCCGCAGCTGCAGCTGAAGACACCGTAGAAAACGATAAGAAGAAAACTGACGACGCAAAAGCAGCGGAAATGAGAAACAGAGGCTGTAGAAAACCTGAGCGGAACACAGGAAAAGCAGCGGCTTTTTTCATGCATATTATTAATTTGTAATCACATGATTTTTGTCGTGCAATTTGGAGTAAATAAGCACTTGCAAATTTTTTCAAAGACCACAGTTTTTTTGGTCTTGGAAAAAATTTACAACTGCTTCTTTATTCCGAATTGCACTCGAAATCATATGATTACCTAAGTATACTAAAATGTATCGTAAATTGCGCGCACACGTACCGATTACTTGAGCTGCGTGCATTATATCTCAACAGTGTACTCGTGTGATGTAAGGCGCGTGCATTATGGAAATATAATGAAATCGTTCTGACCAATCACGGCGCGCCTATTTCTCTGAACGTTTTATAAGAGAGTATAGAGCATAGAGCTGAGCTAAAGCTGTCACGCCATCCGCCAAATTGTACTATGTCCAACCTTTTCCGGGACTTCTCTCTAGCTTTTTTTCGATAATTGAAAGCGAAATTTCGGAACAAGCGAGCCGCCAAGTAGCAACAGACGAACCCAACCAAGGTTTGTAAACATGCCAGGCACTGTAATTTACGTTATTGAAACGGGAGCAGAGACGAAAATCCTCAAAGAGAAAACAATATGGACAGTCCGAGTTTTAAAGGTTTTCACGCCCAGTTAGATTGCGAGCTTACGTACGGTAACAAATGTGAACTTTGATGGTTCAAGGATTCAGCAATTCTCGTCGGGCGGGTTATTAAATTTCGGAAGTTGAAGGCCTGACAAATACGTTTTAGCATAGAACTATTACATTTGGGAGAGAGCTGATCAGCGTTAAAGTCACCAGCTATCACAACATTTTTCTCCGTAAGCTACTTTTTTTCCATAACACTGCGAAATTTATCAAAGAAATCCGTACGGTCAGGAGGTTTGTACATACAACCAACAGGCAGTCGCTGGGAGAATGCACATACTTCAATCCAGACAGCTTCAAGATTAGAACATCATACTTAAGAGGCTGTCTCTCTTATTTCCACCCGGTCAATTTTGCGTCAAAAATAATTTTGCCTGAAACTCTGTTAACAGAAAGACTTTACCTAGGAAAGAACTAAATTAGATTTGGTTTGATTCTAAATAATTTTCTGACTGCATTACGGGCCATAATTATTTCCCAGTCCGTAGGGACCGTCGCAACGTCTCGAAAATTGAAAAATAGGCATATTTTGTAACCTTGTAAAATATTTGATTCGCATAGTTAAGCCACAGAATTTATATCAGATTGCTTAAAAACCTTTCTAGTTTTCCAAGAAAGTTAGAATCTGCCCTCTCAACATATTTGAAAAGGCGAATTTTAGCGTATTCTGACCACTAGAAATCGCCATCGGCCGATGGCCGTAAATAACCTTGATTTAGACGCTAAGTTTTGGGATTTGGGACCTGGTTGACGATTCTATCCTACACAGCCGTTAAGCTTAGACCTTTATAAGCAAAAATATGCAAAAATCCCTGTACGTTTTCGATTTTTCAAAAGTTATGACCGTTTGAATCAGCACATGTACGAGCATTCGCGTTTTTTTCTCCTACACCAAAATCGAACCACTAGAGCAGATTTCGTCATAAATACAGCTTACCCGCTTTGCAGCCCGGCTTCATGGCTCACTTCAGAATTTTTCTAATAACCAAATTGCTGAAATCCATGATAACTTCAACAAATAGCTAGGTATTGCCTTCGAAAAGAAGGCGGCATCCATCGTGATTCGTGGTATCAAAACAAATGCCGGAATTGGCCACATTTCGCGGTGAATCACCCATTTAACATCGCTGCAGAGCTGAATTTTTTCCAAAATCAGAATATAAACTCTCCATGTCTGGAAGCTGAGGGAGAAATGAAGGTTTTAGGCTTCTGAAGAGAAGAAATAATCGCTTTAATTTAGATCCAGTTCAATGTTATACTGTTCTCACAAAGGTCCGCACAAAAGAGAAGTTTGCTGATAGCTTGTGCCGTACGTTGTGCCATATGGTTTTGTTTTGTATCCCAAAGTAATATTTGGGCAAAAAAATTTTGGATGAAAAGAATAAATGCTTTTACCTGCAGTTTGATATCATATAATGAATAAATCAATTTCAAATATCCTGAGCTTGCTTTTCTCGGTTCCGCATCGATTGTGTCCTCAGAACAGCAACCTGTCAATAGCCGGAGAAATCGGCTACCAACGTGTTAAAAACTTGACACATGCTTCGTATGAACAGATGTTATAAGTGTTGCTTTTGGTAAATTTTCAATCGATTTTATCAAAACATTTCACTGAGTACTAGATATTATAATATATTACACTTTAACAACGCCGTCAGAACTTGATATCGGAAGTAAAGGTAGTTTGTATCTGTAGAGCATATTCTACACTTTCAGCCACCGTACAAGACATTGTTTACATAAGTCTACTGAGAAACACACTGACAATCACTAATCACGTCCAACAGTTTGTCTATGAGGATCTGTTTTTTGTCTCTCAATTTTACAGGGATCTCAAAATGACTACAGATGGCTCTCAACAAAACCACATTGAATTTCTGAAGTGTGTTATTGTGGTAACGTTCATAGAGGTCCTACGTATCGTAGCAGATTGGATGTGAGACTTTGATCTCTTTGTTAACTTTGTCTACCAGATCTTATCTCTCGGAATTTTCCTGGACGCATTGGATATCTTCCTCCTCATCCAGTGATGTCCCGATCACACCCTGATCTTTTTGCCGCATTGCTGCTAGCCGGGAGAAAAAGCTCTGAACTTGGCTCTTTGTCAGCCACTGTTCTCTAGTGAACAAACGTGCATTTGATTCATTTTTCGCATTTCGCATGTCCACTGGAACTTGGGCGGGGTCGGCCTTTCGCCCAGTTCTTTCGCCAAGTGTAAACCGTGCCGTTAGGTATTCTTTTACCTTCTCTGAAAATCTAACGCTGCCCCTTGGTTTGCTTACGGCCCATCCTGTTCGTAAAGACGAGTGCGGCGAAGTATCCACGGGAGAAGTGAGTGGTGTACTAGAATCTAACGAACAGCTCGAACACTCGATACCAGCGGTATCTATCGACGAGAACTTAAGGGCCCAGTCCCTTTTGATTGCATCATACTGGCTTTAACCTGCTGACTGTATGCTTTCCAACGTCCAGGTGCAGCTCCAGCTGCGAAAAGGTTTCGAACACTTCAACACATCCAAACACAGAGCATTCAAACAATGGCGTTGTACTCTCTGTTTCCTTGCTGCCCTTTGAACGACGCTTGACCACACGTTTTTCAGGAGGATCATAAAACCCTTGAGATTCTATGGTTTGAAGGGACGTTTGACCTTGGTGCTTGATATAAATTACGTCATATGGAATGTACTTCCCTTTACCGATGCCATAACATTTCCAAACTCTCAGACCGATATCTCCAAATTCGAAGTTGTGGAAGCTACTAAAATGCTCAATCTTATTTACACAGAGAGTGTTCTTTGATTCGTCTACTATTCTTACTGCAGTTGTTGTTCCCTTCACTGGGTGTTTCGTCAATGCGTATCCTCTGTCCAATGAAAGCTTTAACAACCTCGCTGAAGACTCGCTACAGACTGAAACCTCTCTGGTTTCGAAAAAGTACTTGCATGCCATACTACACTTGCAGGCCTTCCAAAAAAAATAAAGGGTCAGCGGGTTCACCCGCAATGATTAATGCGGACCTCTGTTATGCGCGATAGTGCAATCGTTCATCTTTAAATTCCAAAACGCCAAACTTCGACACATAGACTTAAAAGTGGAGTTCTATAACTGATTCTTGAAGAGAATGCAGCTGCAATCCAAAGTTTCAACGGGACATTAAGCACGAAACATGGCTTTAGTTTTCGAGTTTAGTTTGCAACAACGAGTCAAAGAAGAGTATCGACAGATGCCGACCACTGAATTTTGGAGGTATTTGCTGGAGTAATCATAAAGTCCAGTTCACCAGTTTGGGAAGCGAGGAATATCTGAAACTTCACATAAACCCATGATTTCTCCGGCTATTGACAGGTTGCTGTTCTGAGGACACAATCGACGCGGAACCGAGAGAAGCAAGCTCAGGATATTTGAAATCGATTTATTCATTATATGATATCAAACTCCAGGTAAAAGCATTTATTCCTTTCATCCAAAATTTTTCTGCCCAAATGTTACTTTGGGATACAAAACAAAACCATATGGCACAACGTACGGCACAAGCTATCAGCAAACTTCTCTTTTGTGCGGACCTATGTGAGAACAGTATAACATCGAACTGGATCTAAATTAAAGCGATTATTTCTTCTCTTCAGAAGCCTAAAACCATCATTTCTCCCTCAGCTTCCAGACATGGAGAGTTTATATTCTGATTTTGGAAAAAATTCAGCTCTGCAGCGATGTTAAATGGGTGATTCACCGCGAAATGTGGCCAATTCCGGCATTTGTTTTGATACCACGAATCACGATGGATGCCGCCTTCTTTTCGAAGGCAATACCTAGCTATTTGTTGAAGTTATCATGGATTTCAGCAATTTGGTTATTAGAAAAATTCTGAAGTGAGCCATGAAGCCGGGCTGCAAAGCGGGTAAGCTGTATTTATGACGAAATCTGCTCTAGTGGTTCGATTTTGGTGTAGGCGAAAAAATCGCGAATGCTCGTACATGTGCTGATTCAAACGGTCATAACTTTTGAAAAATCGAAAACGTACAGGGATTTTTGCATATTTTTGCCTATAAAGGTCTAAGCTTAACGGCTGTGTAGGATAGAATCGTCAACCAGGTCCCAAATCCCAAAACTTAGCGTCTAAATCAAGGTTATTTACGGCCATCGGCCGATGGCGATTTCTAGTGGTCAGAATATGCTAAAATTCGCCTTTTCAAATATGTTGAGAGGGCAGATTCTAACTTTCTTGGAAAACTAGAAAGGTTTTTAAGCAATCTGATATAAATTCTGTGGCTTAACTATGCGAATCAAATATTTTACAAGGTTACAAAATATGCCTATTTTTCAATTTTCGAGACGTTGCGACGGTCCCTACGGACTGGGAAATAATTATGGCCCGTAATGCAGTCAGAAAATTATTTAGAATCAAACCAAATCTAATTTAGTTCTTTCCTAGGTAAAGTCTTTCTGTTAACAGAGTTTCAGGCAAAATTATTTTTGACGCAAAATTGACCGGGTGGAAATAAGAAAGGCAGCCTCTTAAATAGTCAGCTCATGCTAGATATGCATATTCCGTTATTGTCTTGTTAACTGCCTACAAACAGCGTTTTAGTGTTATTTCCATTTCGTTCACCTAAAAATAATAGTTCATTTCAAGACATGCTCTAATTACTCTATAAAATGCCAAATTGCTTGACTCAAGCTTAATTACAGGGCGGTGTTCACTGAAAAAAGTGATGTAGATTAAGACGTTTTAAGAGAAATTTTTCAAAAAACGTCTGACCGTTTTAATCCGAGCTAACAAAGCATTTTTTGAATTACAATAATTATCATAAACTACAGATCTCGAACTCTCCTATTCATGCATTAATAATGAGAAAGTAATTATCAGCGCATAAAGTTTCGCTTTACTCAGGTAAGGAGTTTTCCAACAAGGTCGCTGGTCTACAAAAGTCTGTCAATTTGGTGTCATGACTGCATTGCAACAGCGTAATCATTCTACGGCTGACATTTCGCGAAAAGTTAGAGGATCTATGTCATAAGTTACTGTTAGGTAAAAAAAGATATGAAAATATAAATTCATATTCCAAGTAGCATAGCCGCATACGAAATTCTCGCTTATCATTTCTCAATTCCACATTCAGTTACCCCCATACGTTTTTTTTTCTTACCTCAGACAGTCACGAGTTGGAGACTCGCGCTTTCTCACGGATAAAAGAAAAGGGAAAAGAGAGATTTATAAGCAAGCAGTGAATTGTCGAACAAGCTCGAAAAAACAAATTAAAAACAAAAAAACAATCAAAGGAAAAAAACAGATGTATAAGCTTAAAAATGAACTTCGAAGGAGACTATAAACGCTCTGTTATTCAGAACCAATTTATTCTTACCCATACTCAAAACGAACACAAAAATCTTGCTGTTTGATCTCAATGCTGCTTTACTTCTCTTAATTTTCATTTCAAAATCTTTAAGCCGTGGAAAGGCTAATAAAAAATTAATCACACGTTCTCCTTTAAAGACTCAGAAAAAAAAGAAAATGAAAATTATTCGTGCCATTAAACAACCTGAAAGTGTACCCCTACATTTTCTGATCCAAATATCAGCCTATATTTGTTGTACAATGGCCACAAAAAGACACATAACCTTTCAAAACAGGCTCGTATTTACACTTCACTCATATTTAAGCAAACTTTTTTTCCGTATCCTGAATTAACTTTTCGGTCGTAGGGGGAACGCTTGCAACTCAGCTATAAAAATTAATCAAATAAAATGTTTCGAATACAAAGTTCCACTTCATTTTGAGAAAGATATTTGCCTTTAAAGTTACAGAAAGTCGATTAGTTTGAAAACGTCTCGTAACAATTCTGAAACCTTATGACAAAGTACACATGTCTACTGAAAGAAACAACATCTTCGTTTAGCCACATTTTTATTCTTAAAAACACTTTGAATAAACGGTCAGAATTATAAAACCTCAGGAGGGAACCTGAACTCTATTAAACTTGAGTTTAAAACCAAGGGGAAGGTCAAAAAACTCGTGAACTTTGTGTTCTTATATCAGCCCGTAAAGAAAATAGATTAAATTTTTCAGAAAGGAAAGATCTTCCCCCAGAGTTATAGCTGTTATCGGAATAGAAGGGTATGAGATCGAGGTCCTTTCAGAGGTAAAATAGTTAGTCTTTAATAATTGACAAACCTTGATAAACACGCACAAGATAATCATAGAATTCATAGCAGTCTTTTGTTTCTTTGGGCCAAACGTTAGAAGAGTGATGCTTATAGGAGCGTAAAGAACAATATTACTTCTTAAAGTTAAGAGATTTAAATTTAAATTTTAAAGTTAAGAAATTTTATTTGTGAGCCCCTCTATCAGCGTTCAGCCAAAGTTAAAAAGCAGGAGCCGGATGGACCATCATTGATAATTCATGTTAAATTTTCACCTGCCTTTTTTCAAGCTATTTAACAGTAGCAAAATTATTTCCTTTGTGGAAACGTACGATGCTGTGATCTTTTTCATTCCTTTCAATAGTGAGACAACGAGTTTTGACACCCAGCTGTAAGTATCTATTTTTCTGAATAAAGGACAATTTAAAGATTAAAAGGGTGTTGGCGATCTCTTTTGTTCGTCTCCGATCTCAGACGCGTCTTGGTACGAAATTACTTGTTTTGTTTGTGATCACTACCATTACGACGGTAAGAAAGAAGATGAAACTCTTTCCTTGTTTTTCAGCTATTAAGACACTTCTGTGGAGAGTTAAAAGAAAAGAAAAAAGACGGCTACTCAACTGAATCGCACTCAACTCCTCTTTGGAAACGTACGAAAATATTGTGCAGAATTTTTTTTCCTTTAATTGTGGGACAATAACTTTTGGCACCTAGCTGTAAGTATCTTTATTTTGGTTGATGGCGACCTCCATTCTTTGTTTCTGCTGTCTTCCGTTTCTTATTGTGAAGTTTAATTGTATTCAGTGATAAAAAGGTGAAAGTCTTCACCGCGTATCGAGGAGCAAAGCCAAAATTGGAAAAGACAGAGGGGGCCGGAAAGAGGAGGTAAGTTGAGATAATTTATATTTGGACAGCCAGCTCAACAAGATAATCTAGATAAAAACGTTACCATAACTGTTTGCGTTTAAGCATCCAATGCCAGCCGAATGACCAGTTACGTAGGGAAATTTTCGCAGGACTTCAACAACGGCGGAGTAGAAAGCTTCAGGTCACCAATTCAAATAAAGTACACTCAAGGTACATTATAAAAGGGATAAATCTTAAGATGAAATAATATCACGGTCTATCTATTAAATTAGTAGAGTGATTTTACAGAAAATGCTAGGTGCAAGCATCATTTTCTTACCCATAATTCTTCTCAAGGAAAACTGTGAGACGCTATGTAAAGTGCGGAAAGGGATTTGACGCTGAATTTACTCAAGTCACTCCCTAAACACGAAGTGCACTCTAACTCTTAGCTATAATTATTATGAATTTTCCATAGGAAGTTGTAGACTGAAGAAATCATATCAACAATAAATTGTTTTGGAAAGAAACAGTATCCAACCAATTCATGTTTACATCTAGGTTTAAGTGTGATTCCTCAGACATCGTTCACGACACATATGTCGGCTTGAAAACTTTCTTACATCACATGACTTCCTATCTCAAAAATCGATATATTTTACGCAACTTTTCGCGACAAAATGGGTGGAAAACATTTGGTCAGAAAACTTTAGTGTTTTTGTTGCATGTCATGTATGTGAGAGTTTTCGCGCACATCTGAAGCATCTGGTATTTGCGAAAAGGTTCTGTTTGTTTATCGCATGTTATATACATTATGGCGAAAGATCACAGTGCTCTAAACAGTAGTCCAGTATTGAATGTCTAATTCAATGTCATTGAGTTACTTTTGGTGAGTAGTTTTTATAAATGTTGTCAGCTGTCTTGGGACTCCAACTTTTGTTAATTTTTTTTTTAAGACACATGTTTCCAAAATAGTGTAGTTGTTCTCCAATTCTCTTTTTTTTGCGTCGCCACAAGCCAAAAAATGATTTTTGGCTAGATCAGCGATCGAAAGTGTGAATTTCACAGATTTTGTCTAAGGCACAGCGACAATTCAAAAGAATTCTCAAAATACAGGCGTAAATTGGGCTAAAAAGGCATGTCAGTGAATAGCTTATAGACCAATGATGTTACCGATTGCCTCAAACCCGCGGTTACATCTCTAATTTTCATCCACCAACATCTTAAAACAACGCAAATCCATGTGTTTAATTTTCTCAATTGCGCTCGTGTCAAAGATTATTTGCATAATTCTGAAAATTTACTAAGATCTCCTTTTGACCGTTCAAACTGCGTTTGTTTATCTTTTACACTAAGGATTTTAGGTTTTCATAACAACTGAATGGAGATTAGATGCCGAGTTGTCCTAAAGCGTTGCGTAAACGTGATGGATCGTGACGCTAGAGCGCTTGCGTGACTCTCAAAGTAAATAAATGTGATCATAAAGGAACGTTTACAGACCTTTTGTGGAGTATTCCCTACAGAAACCATCGAGGAGCAATTTCGTTAGGGCTCAAACGTTTGCCTAATCTTTTTTTCGAAATTCCGCAAATAAGTGATTCTGTAGTGAAGATCGACTTCCCAGCGAGAAGAATACACTCTTAACTGTCTTTCAAAACGTTTACTGACTCAGAAGAAAGTCTCAATATGGTAATGACTCTTACGGGTAACGACTAAAATTTTGGCAATGTTACTGCTAATGATTATTTTCTTTCCGTTGCAATTAAAAAAAAAATGTTATGGTTAATGCTTTAAGGGAAACAATTTCCCAGTTAATTAGAAAAATGCATCCATGCATTTTCCACAAATAAGCAAATGTTTGATATCATGAAGTTTTATCAATGGAGGACGCTTTTAAGCAAGAGACCCAAATATCTATTCATTTCGTTCCAGATTACCCCATGCTTGTCAGAGGTAATTATCATGTATCTTCTTTTTTCTTCATATTAATAGTGCCATTGCTATGGGCGTCGTACAATATCTCCAAGTCATGCTGTTCGTATTCAATTTGACATTCTCCTGTGTGGCAAAGAAAGCGGTAAATTGTCAAAACTTCAAGTTTGCTATCGATGAAGATGTCGTCCATAATCACATTCTTAAGGGTCACGTGTTTCAAAGATTGACAGTCCCCAATGCCATCCAGTGTCACTTGAAGTGCAAAGATGACTGCCTATGTGTATCCATGAACTATTGCCCTCGCTCCAAAGAAAATAACTGTGAGCTTAACGTTGCTAATAAAGACATGGAGCCAGCGGCGATGAAATGGAGTCAAGGAGGAACTTATTATGATTTGGTGAGAAGCTATACGGTGAAGGTGAGATAAAATTGTTTGTTTAATTCTTTGTTAATTTATTTATAAACTTTCGTAAACATAGTAAATGTACCAAGATGTTCAAGTTCGGAAATATAATAAATATTTCCATATGATCAAGTTTTGCGGTACTCCTTAAAAAAAGAGGTGTTTTATGTAAGTCCGGGCCAAAGGCAATTTTGTGCATACTGTTTTTTCTGCGACATGATTGGTCCAGACAAAACCAAAACGAACTGGTTTGGCTGAGAGAGGATTAGGTTCATGCGCTTTCTCGCAAACATTCTTCTTAACGGCCATGTTGTAATGCGAAGGGGACGGCAGAGCAAAAGTGACTACAAATTTAATAATAACATCATTGACTTAACCATTGCCATATTACTGCATTTCAAATTTAATTTTTGATGGACATTTGATCTCCATTCTGGCACCCCGCTATGTGTTACACGCACGTACTTTGCTCGCACTGTTTTTTATCGATGCGATCCGTTTCCGGTGAGATTTGTCGATGGTTGCTAAAACGCACATGCCAAACCAATTCTATGAGAATGCTGAGCTGAAAAAACCTTTGAATGTTGCTGTAGGGTGAAGACAAATACATACCAGAGAAGCATCATTGCATTAACAGATGCTGCAGCACCAATCCTTGTCTCAATGGGGGGGTATGTCGGGAGATTTGTGACACCTACAGCACAAGGTTTAACTGTACCTGTCCTAACACATACTCTGGTCAGCGGTGTGAGAAGAAGATGAAACATCCGAGAAGCTGCAAAGACATAGCTAAGAACGGTGCCTCGACATCAGGAAAATATGACATCTACGATTCAAACAATGAACGGTTTTCTGTTTACTGTGACTTGCAGTCTGAACCTGGCTTTTTATGGACGTTAATACAATCGTTTTCCAGGGCTAAGAGAAATGATTTCAAGAATGTAGGATTTGGTGAAAACTTTGAGATTGATATTGAGGAGGGGGAAGTGAATTGGAACAAGTTCCGACTATCCTTATCACAGATGCAGTATCTTGCTAATCACTCCACACATTTGAGAGCAACTTGTAACTTTTCTACGGATGGTCTGCAGTGTACGGACTACGCACGCGCTAAGCTGGCAAGTCATGACATTTTTGGTACCTGGGAAACCTGCCAGATGTACGAATACGTTAATATCCGAGGAATCTATTGTTCTAACTGCACCGCCCTGACAAAACAGCAGGAAGATGTGTCCTGGCACATAAGGAGTTACGCTAGCAGAGAGGCCGGATGTGATTTTGATGGAAAACCAGGCGGATTCGGTAAGGAAAACAATTTCGGAAAATTTGGCTACAACAATATAAATAAGGATCACCGCTGCACGTTTTCTTCTGCTTCTACCACGCAGCATTGGTTTGGAACTAAATTTGACGAGTAACTTTTGGCGAATTCATTTTCTTTCATAATTATGACATGTTTTCTCGCCATAGGGCGACATTTTCTTGACTTGGTCAATCAACCGTTTCGTTTAATTGGAAATTAGCTTCAGTTTCGTTAATTTGATTGTAAGTGAAACCAAGCTTTAAGTTTAGGTTTATTGTTTTCGCCTTAAATAATCCGTACAGTGGGGAAAACTTTATCTGGAAATGGTATTTACTAAGTGGCAAGGGGATGCTAAGAATCTCTCTTAAGTGGTAAATATGTACATATTTGCTTGATTTTACTACTAGGGACTCGATATATAACTGTGAGAAGCCCTCAACAGTCTTACTTTCACAAGGACTAAGGTACTTAAGTGCTTCGTTAGGATCACCGCTTACTTTATAACATCGCATTTGTTCTTAAAACATTTCTGAGATGTCCGAAATATAGGAGATAAAGTAGGTATAGTAGTGCAGCATGTGTTTGTGAAGAGAAGTACTAGTATAATGTAAACGTCAAACAGGATTGTTGTAGATAATGTGAGACATCATCTTATTATACAACATATTAGTTGTGAGCAGTTTATGTTCATCGTAACATCACGAATTTGTGTTCGTATTTTCAAAGTCGTATTCAAGCTTAAGCTTGTGGATTTGCAGCGACATTTCATTACACACTGTTGGACACACTGTCGATACATTATCAAATACAAATCCAAGTGACCATAAAGCGAAATTTTTTTCTAGTTATAAAGTTCACCATTTAAAATCCACGTTTCCGAAGTTTGAAACGTTCAGTGAATTTGATGACGTGCAACTGATTCGGATTCATATTGGTTTCTCTCTACTTTGGTTGTATGGAAAACGCGGAGTGCGGAGTGTGGAGTGTGGAGTGTGGAAAATGAAGAGTGTGGGAATGAGCATTGCGGAAAATAAGGATTGTGGAAAACGAGGATTGTGGAAAACGAGGATTGTGGAAAACGAGGATTGTGGAAAACGAGGATTGTGGAAAACGAAAGTGTGAAAAATGGGAGTATGGAAAACGCGGAGTGTGAAAAAATGCGGAAAGAAACCTGAGCATAAGAATTGAAGACTTAATTTCTGAGGTCTCATCAGAGCAATAGCTTTAACACTGTCATTTCGTTCCAGTTATTGTGATTTATCAGCGTTTTGAGTATGAGTACTTTGTAAGATTAAATTGTGTTTGGTGGACAGTAACAGAATGCGAAGTAAACCTTTCAAAGGCAACATACCATGCAGTTACAGGATCTTCATATCACTCTCCGTGCCGTTTTGCTGGTTATAACCATAACCGCTTTAGCTTTTAAAAACCTTTTCATTCCATATATAAGTATTTGTTAGTATTTCAATGGCCAATAAATTCAAAGATAAATTATGTATACGGTAACCGAATCCGAAAGAAAAGCTTTCAGACTTAATATGTCACCATATAGTGCACAATTCGTGGTTGAAGAATTTTCCGTTTCAAAATCTCTCGCAGTTTAATTCTCAACTTCCGTTCCGTTAAAGTTATAAGACGCACGAGTTACAAGGTGTTATCAAATTTTATTACTGAGTATATTTTGAAAAGTGCTTAAAAGAGCAGTGAAATATATCAAGTTTTAAACTATGGTTTTTCAAATGCACCATGCTCCCCAGTTTCTAGACTCTGCGCAAATCGTGACTTTTAACGTACGGTAAAAGAAGTGCAAATAGAAGAATAAAGATCCAGATACTGTTATGAGTAATTGTTGTTGTAAATATAAGCTTCTAGAAATGTCCAGACTGCTTAGTCATGCTGACTTGCATACCATAAAACATTTCAAAACATTTCATCACGTCACACAGTTATCACGTAATACTACTAAAATAATTCTTTTGTAAGCTTCTGGAATGTCTCAGAGCACTCTGTGAATATACATAAAAACTCAGCTATGTAGTAGTGTTGTAGTAGTTGTTTTTAGGGGTGGCCGACTGTGAAGAAAGCTATACCGTAAGAGAGAGCTACATTGGAAGATTGCTTGTTTCAAGAAACGTTGGAGGCAAGTGTGAGTTTTGGTATATGCATACATACACACTTTATTTGAGTAGGTTAGAATAGGGCAGCCAAAGGCTGATGTGGACCTACATACATATGATTACGAATACTGCAAGAAGTAAAACTATTTACAGTTGGACATAAAAAGTTCATAATTCATTCATTTGTAAGGTAAGCTCAAAACAATGTTAAAAGTAATTGAAATCCTTGGATTCATCGTAACGATGGCAACTTCCTTGTTTAAAGAAGATTTTTCATCTTTTGATTTTTTTATAGAAGCTTTGGAGCTATTTATACTACTTGGAAGATCAATCATTTTCTTCATATAATTCATATAGTGTAAACATCTGATTTATAGCTCGTAGAGGTTTACCAGAGACTTTCTTCGAGAACAGTTTATCAGGCCGAAAAGACAGGGTATCAAATCTTGTGCATGGATACAAGGACAAGGACTTAGGTCTGGGTGTAAACATTTGATTTATAGCTCGTAGGGGTTTACCAGGGAATCAAACCTTGTGTATGAATAAACAGAATTTTTGTAAAAATAAGAAACAGAGGGCCAGTAAGAATTCAAAAGACAACCAGCATCAAAATATGCACAAAAGACTCTCTGAATTGAGAAAAATGTTCAGACCATGAGAGTCTACAATTAAGCTTCATGCCCAGGCAAGTCGATGACTCAACTACACGTATCATGCCAGATCCAAAGTACAAAGGAGGTAGTGGGCCAATAAAAGGGGATTTCCTAATCAATATTGCTTCAGTTTTGATTGGATGTATTGTGAGTTGATTACTGTTGCACATTGTCAACCGTAATGTTAAGAGCAGCAAAAAAGGTTATCTACACTTTCAGCAATAAAAGATGAGGTAGTGTCATCAGCATCTCCAAAATCTCCAACACAGTCAGGAAGATCGTTGACAAAAATAGATTACAGCCTTGGCCCCAGGAGAGATCCCTGTGGGACGCCAAAATTAATACAACCATGAGAAGACTTGCAGCCATTAACAAGAGTATACTATAATTGCGATCTGTTTGTGAGAGTTAAAAGCATGGACTCTGTTAATAAACATTTACAAAAGCCCCATTGCTCCCGGGTCTTGGCACTGCAATCAGCAAGATGTTCATCGATAATGTGACACACCCAGCTTTCGAGAAGCTTACTTGGGATGGATAGGAGAGATATGGGTCTGTAAATTAAAAGTTCCATTTTGCAGCCTTTTTTAAAGATTACATTGATCTTTCGCCATTTTCAACAACGCAAGGAAGACATAAGTAGTAAAAAAGTGCTTGAACTCAGTAGAGCGCCCAGCTGCAGCCGAGAAGCCTGCAATAGTCAGGCTACCAGCAGAAATACCGTCAGGTCCACGTGCAGATTGCAAGCACTTGGAAACCTTTGAGCTAAGTTCTTTCCACCGCACCCTGCACCCTGCACTCCGCACTCCCCAACCCCCATACTCTCTGAAATTGTTTTTGTAGTTGACTCCACCTAGTCTTCCATCAAATTCACATCCTCTTATTATGCTACTGTAATCCCATTGTGCCAGTACTTATGTGGATCGCTTTATTTTGAAAACCTCTCGTAACAATTGATGTTTCGACTACACTGTAATACATCTGCAAATTAATTGTACGGCAAAAAACGATTCAGGAGGGAAGCCCAGGAGGGAGCCGGAACTCTAATAAACTTGAAATTAAAACCATGGGGAAAGTTTAAAAACTCGTGAACTTTATATTCTTAAATCGACCTGCAAAAAATAGATTATGTTTTCTCAGAAAGACAAGGTCTTCCCCCAGAGTTGTAGCCGTTATCGGAATAGAGGGGTATGAGATCAAGGTCCTTTCAAAGCTATAAATAGCTAGTCTCTAACAATCGACAAACCTTGATAAACACGCGCCGGAAAATCATAGAACTTACGCATTTTATGTTATACATCGCGTAGTCTAGCTAGGAGTTAGGCTTGATGATACTAATACTAAAAGAACACATATTTTCGTCACTACAGTGAAAGGAAGAATGTTTGAGTTTTTTCAATTTACTTGTAAAAATTAGTAAAATTTCACGTTAACTGTTGCTTATTAACCCACACCATAACTTTAAATACCTATAAAAAGCTGATTTCATAGTTTCAAAGTCTTGATACTGGTAATTTTCCAACCTCATCAGCTATTCGCTTCTTTTAATCAGCTTCCGGAAATGTACCAATATATGCTTTTTTAAGATTTTTCTGATTTTCTGGGAAGCTTTATATTTGCTTATTTACAACTATATTTCAATGAGTCACACGGACTTAATCATTCCCGTGTTTAAATTTAAACAAGGATTATATTAAGATGATTCTCGATTCTCTCCATTAAAATTATTTATTAATTGGAAAACTTGTGAAGGCTACGAAGGAATCACCATCTTGATGGCTATGTGCTTAAGTGGAATTCCACTCAAGTTCATTGTGTTCAGTCTTCAATTAATCGCAAAGGTTCTCGAAACTTCAGTTGAGAAACAAACAGACATAACTATATGAGGGCCAAAGTTACCTCCAGGGTCACCGCGGGTCGTGCGGTTTTCTTAAAGATTCTGTTGACTATTTTCGTAAAAAAGTCAAGAGAACTGCGTCATACTTCATTTTTAGATTCAAAAAAGTGTTTTTTTCAATTCCACAAAGCCTCGGTATGAGTAAAGCCTCACTTTGCATTTCCTCGCTTAAATTCAAAATTTTAATGTCAGCTAGCCTTCATAGAAGTCTTTTGTTTCCTTAGGCCAACCGTTTGAAGAGTGATGCTTATAGGAGCGTAAAGATCAATATTACCTCTTAAATTTAAATTCAAATTTTAAAGTTAAGAAATTTTATTTGTGAACCCCTTTTTCAGGGCTCAGCTGGAAATAAAGAGCTGGAACCGCAAGGCTATTTAATAGTAGCAAAACCAATAGAGACCCTTAGCAGTAAGGACGGCAACGCCAAGGAAGTCGTCGATTTAAAAATGAATACATATATATATATAGTTGGAATTTCGCGAATGATAGGATGTGTTCACCATTTCTTACGGCGCCACAATTTAACCTCAGCATAACGTATGAGGGCGGCGTTGAGTTCCAAATAGAAACTTAAATAATTTGTTGTTAGGGGTTTTTTTTCTCGGACCACGCAAAATTTGATTTTTTCACGTTATTATTTTGCAGATGACGGCTAAGAAATATACACGGTTTTAAAACACACGTGCTGAGCTATTGTTCTGCTCATTAGCTCTTTTGTTTTCCCACGTCCTCGTTGCCGTCGCCGTCGTGCTTTGCTAAAAGTCCCTATTCCTTTGTGAAACGTACGAAACTTTTGTTTATTTCATTCCTTTCAATAGCGAGACAACGAGTTTTGACACCCAGCTGTAAGTAGTTATTTTTCTGAATGAAAGACAATTTAAAGATTAAAAGGGGATTGGCGATCTCTGGTCTCTACCGCTTCTTGTTGTGAAATTACTTGTTTTGTTTGTGATCACTATACTTCAAAAATAATTTAAAATGCATTGCAACGTATATCCTCCCACGACTGTAAGAAAGAAGGTGAAACTCTTTTCTTGTGTTTTAGCTATTAAGACACTTTTGTGGAGGGTTAAAAGAAAAGAAAAGAAAAAGAAAAAAAAACCGGCTATTCAACTGAATGGCACTCAACTCCTCTATGGAAACGAACGAAAATATTGTGCAGAATTAGTTTTCCATTTTAATTGTGAGAAAATAAGTTTTGGCACCCAGGTGTCAGTTTTTTCTCCTCCATTCTTTGTCTCTGTTTTTTCCGTTCCTTACTAGGAGGTTTAATTGTTTTGAATGGTGAAAAGTTGGAAGTCTTCACCTCATATCGAGGGGCAAGGAAAAAATTGGAAAGTCAGAGGAGGAAAGAGGAGGTAAGTTGAAATAATTCATATTTGGACAGCCAGCTCGACAAGGTAAAATCCTTTTTTGATCTAGTTGCAAAAGTTACCATAACCGTTTGCGTTTAAGCGTCCAATGCCAGCCGAATGACCAGTATATGTAGGAAAATTTTCGTAGGACTTCAACAACGGCGGAGTAGAAAGCTTCAGGTCAAATCAAATACAAGTACACTCAAGGTACATTATAAAAAGGATTTATCTATTAAATTAATAGAGTGATTTTACAGAAAATGCTTAGCGCAAGAATCATTTTCTTCCTTATGATTCTTCTCGAGGAAATCCGTGAGACGCTATCCAAAGTGGAGAATATGTATCGAAGCTGAATTGATTCAAGTCACTCCCTAAACACGGAGGGCATACAAAATCTTAGCTATAATTATTATGAATTTTCCGTTGGCAGTTAATAGACTGAAGCAATACTATCAACAATAAATTGTCTCGGAGAGAAACATTATCTAACCAATTTGTTTTTAAATCTAGGTCTAAATGTAATACATCAGACATCGTTCATGACACATTTGGTGGGTTGAAAACTTTCTTACATCACATGACTTCGTATCTTAAAAATCGATATATTTTTATCCAATAATGTGGCTCACGGAATTCTATCTTGCTACGAGTTAAATGATGTATTCAGTTAGTTCACGGACAAAATATGGAAACTTCGCCTGAAATATTTTTTTTCGCCTTCTCGATAATTTTCGTTGAAACATCTGGTCATCAACTAAGCACAGTGTGAAGAGGATCAAAATTAAAGAAAAACATTTGGCACTCTGGTCATCGCAGACATATTGCGTAGCTTAAAAGGACACACGAACAAGTTAAAATACATTACAGTGTTATTTACAAAACGACACGCATACATTCTGAAAGAATTCTTGCAGTTTATCCCGAGATTTAGCACACGGAACGGAATGAACTCCTTTCTGCAAATTTGTTTCCATCATTGACAATTTAACGCTGTCATGGACCACAACGGTTTTGAGCGACAAACTCAACATTTCCCTGCGGTAATCAAAATCAACTTGATGTATTGCGTGACGTGTTTGCTAAATTTTGTCTCCACTACACAACAAATAACACAGTAGTGTATACCAAATAAGTTTATTTAGGGAAGCCTGCCGAGAACCAACCCGAGGCATATATAGCCCGGGGAATGCATACATACATATCTTCGCAACTGATATACCATATACAATCCTGATATACAGTCAATTCCTTACACATTAAAAAAAAGTATACATTACTAACATGCAAACTTCACCAAGTCTGGATTAACAGAGATGGGCAACCGCTTACAAGGACATAACTACGGTTATACAGAGGCCAGAAAAAACCTGCCAGAAAAAACCCCTTTGGGGAAAAACATGACAGGAAATCTGGGTAGGAACCATGACCCAAACTCAGAGCAGTTGGCAGCCCATCCTACGAGGCTTCACAGCTAAAGAAAATATGTTTTCAAACTAAAATAAATTTGTCATCAGCCAGAGGTGAACGGTTGGTTCTGAGGCCTAGATGGACATCACGTGCTATACTTTCCCTTATATACCACCGCATCATTACCCATGATGCTCGGGCCTAAGGCCCAGCCCTTGTCGTATCTCGTGCCGACAAAATATCTATTTCTGCCTTATTCGCAGACTCATTCGTTAGAAATACCATTTTTCCCCTTGTCAAATACTTGTTTCGTTGGTTATAAAAAGTAAGAACAAAATTAGTTAATGTAACGAATTAGAATCGAAAGTTATTAAAATGGACTGAAGAATCTTACATTTGACTGAGGATTTTCTTTTTTTAAATGTTTATTTGATTCATGGAAAGCAAAGATTGTAGTAGCTGCGTGTACTTCAGCTCTGATTTCTCTCCTGTAATGCTTGGACGACGTATCGAGTCATTTGGACTACTACCAGCTATCCAGCGAAGTCCTCAAGCAAAAGTTAATTTTGTTTCTTTCCGATCATTCTAGCCTCGAAGTGGAAAAATAAGCTCAGGTTAACTGCAGGGAACGTTTACGGCTCCTTTTGTAGAGCATTCCTTAGAGAAACCATCGAGAAGCAATTTCGTTTGGGCTTAAATGTTTGCGTAATCTTCTTTTCGAAATTCCGCAAATAGGTGATTCTGTATTGAAGATCAACTTCGCAGCGAGACGAGTGCACTCTCTTGTGTCTTCAAAAACGTTTACTGACTCAGAGGAAGGTGTCAATATGGTAATGACACTTTCGGCTAACGACTAAAATTTTGGCAAGTTTACTGCCAACAACTATTTTCTTTCCGTTGCAATTAAAAAAAAATGTCATGGTCAATACTTTAAGGAACACAATTTCCTAGTTAATTAAAAAAAAAAAAAAAGCATTCATGCATTTTCCACAAATAAGCAATAGTTTGATATTATGAAATTTTATGAAGGGAGGTCGCTTTCAAGCAAGAGACCCAAATATCTATTCTTTTTGTTCCAGATTACCTCATGCTTGTCAGATGAAACAATCATGTATCTTTTTTTTCTTCACATTGATATAGTGCCATCGCTATGGACATCGTAGAATATCTTCAAGTCATGCTGTTTGTATTCAATTTGACTCTCTCCACTGCGGCAAAGAAAGCGGTAAATTGTCAAAACTTCAAGTTTTTTATGGATGAAGATGTCGTCTATAATCACATTCTTAAGGGTCACGTGTTTCGAAGATCAAGTGACAGTCCACAGCGCCACCCAGTGTCAAGTGAAGTGCAAAGATGACTGTTTGTGCGTATCCATGAACTATTTCCCTCACTCCATGAAGAATAATTGCGAATTTAACGTTGCTAACAAAGACATGGAGCTAGTGGCGATGAAACGGAGGCAAGGAGGAAATTATTATGATTTGGTGAGAAGCTATACGATGAAGGTGAGATGACATTGTTTATTATATTCCTTTTTCATTTATTTATGAAATTTCGTAAATAAAATAAATATTCCCACATGATCAAGTTTTCCGGTACTCCTTGAAAAGCAGGTTTTTTTTTAAATGTGTTATATGTCAGTTCGGGCAAAGAAAATTGTGTGCATCCCATTTTGTCTGCGATATGATTGATTTAGACAAAATCTTTGGCTGAGAGAGGATTGGGTTCATTACCTTTCTCGCAAACTTTTTTTTAACAGCCATGTTGCAATGGGAAGGGGACGACATTGACAACAAATTTCATAAAGACATCATTGACTTAACCATTGCTGTATTACTACATTTCAAATATAACTTTGATGAACATTTCATCTCCATTCTGGCATCCCACTATGTGTTGCATGCACACGTACTTTGCTCGCACTGTTTGTTATCAATTCGATCCGTTTCCAATGAGATTTGTCGATGGTTACTCAAACGTACATGCCAACCCAATTCGATGAGCACGGTGAGCTAAAAAATCATTTGAATGTTGCTGTAGGGTGGAGACAAATACACACCAGAGAAGCATCATTGCATCAACAGATGCTGCTGCACCAATCCTTGTCTCAATGAAGGGGTATGTTGGGAGATTTGTGACACTCACAGCACCAGGTTTAACTGTACCTGTCCTAACACATACGTTGGTCAGCGGTGTGAGAAGAAGATGAAACATCCGAGAAGCTGCAAAGACATAGCTAAGAACGGTGCCTCGACATCAGGAAAATACAACATTTACGATTCAAACAGTGAACGGTTTTCTGTTTACTGCGACTTGCAGTCTGAACCTGGCTTTGTATGGACGTTAATACAATCGTTTTCCTTGGCTAGGGGAAATGCCTTCAAGAATGCAGGGTTTAGCAAAAACTTTGAGATTGATATTGAAGAGGGGGAAGTGAATTGGAACGAGTTCCGACTATCCTTATCACAGATGCAGTCTCTTGCTATTTACTCCACACATCTGAGAGCAACCTGTAACTTTTCTATGTATGGTCTGCAGTATAGGGACTACGCACGCGCTAAGCCGGCAAGTCATGACATTTTTGGTACCTGGGTCACCTGTCAGATGTACGAATATGTTAATATCCGAGGAATTCATTGCTCTAATTGCACTGCCCTGACAAAACAACTTTAAGATGTGTCTTGGCACATAAGGAGTTGCAATAGCATATAAGCCGGATGTGAATTTGATGGAAAACCAGGTGCAGTCCGTGATGAAAAAAATTTCGAACAATTTAACGACCTTACTAAAAATCAGCATCACCGCTGCTCGTTTTCTCCAGCGTCCACAACGCAGCATTGGTTTGGAGCTAAATATGAAGTGTACCTTTTTTTTACAAAAAAGGAAACTCGGCCAACTGAAAGCAAGAAAACATCGGAGCGAGGCTAAGAACTAACAATGACATCATTTGCCTTCAAGTTTGGTCCAAATAGTAGTTGAACTTGAACTAAACGTTTAATATTTAGATACACATTGTCCGTATTTTAATAGTTGAAGTAAGTAGGCGGTTTCTCCACCAACACTTTTTACCTGCACTTTCATCTTTTCATGTGATGTTCCATAGATAGTACACTTACATCTTAAAAGTCAAGGTCGATAAAGTTGGCCTTTTTTCATATTCGTCTTTGAAAACGCAGTCAGAGTTCACCATTAGTTGATTTATGCAAATTATTTTCAAGCAAGTGACTAACCGTATATAAGTTGAAATGCTTGTGTTTAGATTCAGAGATATTACCGTACGCTATTAATCTAATTATGACATGTTTTCTCGTCGAAGGGCGACATATTCTTGACTCGGTCAATCAACCGTTTTCTCTCTATTGATAGTTGAAAATTAGCTCCGGCTTCGTTAGTTTGATCATCAGTAAACAAGCTTTAAGTTTAGGTTTCTTGCTTTCGCTTTAAAAAATCCTCACAGTGAGGAGTCCCTCGAAATGGTATTTACTTAATGGCAGGGAGATGTTAAGAATCTCTCCCTAGTGATAAATATGTACAACTTTGCTTGATCTTAATGTTAGGGGCTCGATACATAACTGTGAGAAGCCCTCAACAGCCTTTCTTAAACAGGGACTGAGGTACTTAAGTGCTTCGTTAGGATCACCGCTCACTTTATAACATTGCATTTGTTCTTGAAACACTTCTGAAATGTTCAAAATGTAGGAGATAAAGTAGGTATTAGTAGTTCCAGCAGGTGTTTGTGAAGAGAAGCACCAGTGTACATAACACTTGTTGTACATAATGGGAGACATCATCTTATTATATTATTATAATACTTGTGAACAGTTGATGCTCATCGTAACATCACGAACTTGAGTTCGTCTTTTTAAAGTCGCACTCCAGACTTTTACTCTATGCTTGTGGATTTGCAGCGACATTACATTGTTGGACGCACTGTCGATACATTATCAAATACAAATCGAATTGTTCGTGAAATGGAATTTGTTTTTCTCTAGTTTGAAACGTTCAGTGAAAAAATTGACGATTTTACAAGCTCTTAAAGCTATGCCATTTTCCCTTCAAAAATGGTATTCGAATTGCGCGGCAAAAGTACCATTTGACCAAAAACCAATGACGTCACTTGGTAACAGAAGATCGATTCCGTATGGCGAATAGAAAGATACGCGGCCACTAGGGGGCGATATTGTGTTGCTGGTGCCCCTGACCCGGCAAAGTTCTCAGAATACATCGTTCACACTCTCCATAGAATGTTTCAGTTCCCGAACGATCCCGGCTGTTAAAGGAAAAAGGGTGAAGTTTGCTCGCAGACACAGACACGATTTTTACGATCCAACTTGGCAGTATACGTCGCTTTGTTCGGCAAATTTTGAAGAATCATGCCATGAGTAAAAGCTGTCCAAACTAAACAGCATGGATGTCCAAGGGATAAATATGAACCGTTTTTTAAGAAACGACGCTGTGTCAACCAGGGACACTAGTTTTGTGCATAGCGTAAATTAAATTTTAGTGTTTCTGTGGCCGTTTCTTCAATTTTTTTTCCAATTTTTCTTTCTGGACACTAATACTTCTTAATTACATCATTCCAAATGTTCACCTCCTGTAATGTTCAAATAACTAAAAAGAAACCTACTTCAAATATTATTAAAGGTGACGGATAAAAAAGTAAGGAGGGTTGGGTGAGGTAATTTCAAATTGGACTTTTTCTCTATTTTGAACCTTTGTTTTTGTGGGCCCCTTTATAAAGAGCGCAGCCAAAAATATAGAGCTGGAACCGGATCGACCATCATTCATAGTTCATTTTAATTTTTCACCTGCTTCTCTCAAGGCTATTTAACAGTAGCAAAATCAATTCCTCTCTGGAAACGAACGAAACCATGGTTTATTTCATTCTTTTCAATAGTGAGACAACGTGTTTTGACACCCAGATGTAAGTATTTATTTTTTTCTGCATGAAAGACAAGTTAAATATTAAAAGGGTATCCGCGATCTCCTTTGTTTGTCTCTGGTCTCTATCGCTTCTTGTTGTGAAATTATTATATTATTATTTTTTTGTTATCACTACTCCAAAGATAATTACTGGGATACCTGTGGTACCCCAGTCATAAAATGCCTTTGTTTTTTTGTCGTATTTTTTTTTTTTTTTTCCTCCGCCACAAAATGGAAAAATTGCGCAATAGTACCCAGAGGTCATTGGGCCCTCAACACCATGACAACTAACTCTGATCCAATGAGGTGTTCACATGCTGATCACGCGTGTTATCTTAATGATGATTGACGTTGTCATGCACAGACAGGGCCGGGTCACATGACCAACACGACATTTTGCTTATAAAACTCTTTGGTCAGTTGTTTTGTATTTCAACGTATTTGGATTGCGATCTCCTGAAGCATTATAGCGCAAACGCGCAAAATACTTACAGACGCATACACAAGTCGTATTAATCGCGGCTAATCCTTACTGAAAGACGTTATTGAGCGGTAATTTTGGAACGGATTGAGTCGCGAACGCTTGAAAGCCATGAAAGCCTTGAATGCCTCGTATGCTAAGTATGCCAATGTCTTAGTTGAAAAACGTTCACTTGTTGTAAAAAGCAAAATCTGAAATCTGAAACCAAACTGCATATACTGTATGCAATCTATTGAACAACGCTACTACCGTGAGACTGAAGAACATAACTATATGGGATGCAAACTGCTTGTGAAGAAAGACGACATGTTGGATTCACTTGATGGCAAGGAACGTAGCTACGATAACAGTACGAATGGTATTAATTTCACGATCAGAAAGGTGAATCTTATGTTTGTTTTCATTGTAGTTGTATGGATATTCTTTTTTAATAAATACGTGATCCAAAACCCTGTGTTTTTTTGTGTATAATGTTGTTGTGTTAAATATTGTTTACGCAATTGTCTTGTCACAAGCGGCCCAAGCTCACGTCTCGAGAAGAAGCCAACGATTGATTCATGAACGCGTCACGCGTTGTGTGACTCGGTGTCAAGTTACGAGAGGAACTGCACGTTATAAGGAATATTACAGGGAACGAAGTATGGTCGATTTACAACGATACATATTTCGAAATATGAACATTTTTCTCTTAAAATCAATAAAACTTACTCATACCCTGTGTATCCGTTGTATTTTCTAGCGATTTCTGCCGTTTTAAGCTTGCTTTACCATCACTGTTGTTCACATCCTCTACTTTTATTACATTGATAAAATCTGTACAGACATCACACCAACCAACTCGCGCGCAAAGTAAGAAGACTATATTGAAGGCTTGAAATAATATTGCGATCGATTTTCATCAAGAAATGGGCCAGGAATATTCCACAATAGTGCAAATAATCGTGAAGGCGGATTGCAGAAAAGCGATTGCGTGACGCTCGGTAAGCTGTAAGATGACGTTATTATATACCAGACGTAAAAACTCTTCAGATTCTTAGTCTGCATTTTGTACCCACTCTGCCGTCTGCAGTCTATATTTTGTATCCGGTCTGCAGTCTGCTGTCTGCATTTTGTACTAACAGGTATCCGTGGCACCAATACAGTTTATTTTTGGTTACATTTATTCGCAAAACACACATAATCTACCACAAAATACCTGTAAGTGAGGTAATTCAACATTTTCGTTCTTTCCCACATTAATATTCTTCTCTCCTTTTGTAAGAATGTAGATATCACTCACAATGTTTCAAGTAATCCACCCACCCTACAAAAAAGGAACTCTTGCACGCATAGCATGCCTATGTTTTGAAATAGGTGTATGCCCTTGGCCAGACTTGAGCGCACTATTTCAGTATACTAGTCCGACACCCGTAGTATCACTACACTTGATTCCAAGGATCCAGTACCATCCAGGTATCCCAGTTACCCTGCTCACAGGGTCTAGTTAAAATATACATTGCGCATATATCCTCTCAAGACTGGAAAAAAAAGGTAAAACTCTTGTTTTTTAAGCTAGAGAGTTCTGTGGAGGGTTAAAAGCAAAAAAAAAAAAGTCAGTGGAAAAAAGAGGAGGTAAGTTGAGACAATTCCTATTTGAACAGCCAACTCAAAATTGTTAAATCTGGTTTTTAATCTAGATACAAACATTACTATAACTGTTTGCGTTTAAGCATGCATGCCAGCCTAATGACCAGAATATATGGGAAATTTTCTAAGGACTTCAACGACATGAAGAAAGCTTCAGGTCACCGAACCAAATACAAGTACGCTCAAGGTACGTTGTAAAACGGATGAATCCTAGGATGAAATTAATGTATCGTTTTGTCTATTAAATTAGCAGAGTGATGTTATAGAAAATGCTAAGCGCAAGCATCATTTTCATCCCCATGATTCTTCTCGAGGAAAAGTGTGAAACGCGATGTTAAGTGCCAAAAGGGATTTGAAGCTGAATTGACTCAAGTCACGCCCTGACACACGGAGGGCACACTAACTCTTTGCTACAATTATTATAAATTTTCTGTTGGCAGTTACCGGACTGAAGAAATCATATCAACAATAAATTGTTTTGGAAAGAAGCAGTATCTAACCAATTCGTGTTTACATCTAGGTCTAGAAGTGATACATCAGACATCATTCATGACACATTTGTCAGCTTGAAAACTTTCTTGCGTCACATGACTTCCTATCTTAAATAAAGAATGATATATTTTAGGCAACTTCTCGGGACATAATGGGTGGAAAAAAATTGACAGAAAACTTTAGTGTTTTTGTTGCATGTCAACCGTGTGAGAGTTTTTACGCATATCTGAAGCATCTGAGTATTTGCGAAAGGGTTTTGTTTGTTTATCACATGTTATAAATCGATAATTTAACCTAATTTTCGAATGAAGAATTAGGTTATTCACGTGGCCTTCACAAATGAAAGGTTTGGCTTAAATTTTTAGGTTAATGATGACCAAAAAAGGGGTTCGGAACGTGTACCGACTATCCTTATCACAAGTGCAGTCTCTTGCAAATCACTCGTCACATCTGAGAGCAACCTGTAACTTTTCTACAAGACTACTTACAATAGCATTGAGAGGGAATTTAAAATTAATTGAAAGGCAGGAGGACTCATCGACAAGGAAAACAATTTCGAAGAGTACAGCAGCGACGATATAAATCAGGATCACCGCTACTTGTCTTCGCCTGCTTCTACAACCCAGCACTAGTTTGGAGCTAAATATGACGTGTAACTTTCTGTGGATTCATTTTCTTCCTCAGAAAAGGAAACTCAGCCATCAAAATACGACTCTGAGAAACCATTAGAGCAAGGAGTAATCTGTATTAGTTATTTCTCTAGTGAAATAACAACTATTAACTTCTGTCGTAGTCTTGAAAGCAACTGCGACAATTAATCGTTCATATTAATATTGCTTCGATAAAATCAAGTCGTGGACATGTGGTCGCTCGAAGAGTACTTTTAATGAAGACATTTGATTGATGTGTACTGACTGAAGTTAGTGCAGGTTAAGATTGATGGTCCTTGATATCTCACGCCATTTTTTTCATTATGTAGTTATAAAGATAACACATTGCGGAGCTTGTCACATATCCTTTTAAAACATTGCTAACTGATCGTCCTGCTTGGCTTTCTTCAAGAGTAATTTGTTCCTGTTTTGTGTGTTCGTAAAAATACTCCGTGAAAGAATAAGGTGTTGTATGACATACACTCCCGTGAAATAGACAAGAGGAGAGACTCAAATTTTCATCTTGATTAAACCAATGTCGAAATTTTACACAACCCCTGCATGATGAAATCTTTTGTAATTTTGTAAATTCTATGATAACATCTGCAGTCATATACTAGCTTACCGTTGATGTAACCAAAAGACTAATTAGCTCAGGGGTGAACATGCAAAATCATTATCCCATTCTGACTCGTATTGTTCCCTGTTGAACAAGAGGAGCAACTAGGTTTCTGTCCACGTGAAGTGCAAAGATGACTGTCTGTGTGTATCTATGGTGAATTATTTCCCTCTGTCCAAAGATAATAGCTGTGAGCTCAACGACGCTAACAAAGACGCGGAACAAGCTGCAATGAAATGGGATCAGGGAGAAAATTATTATGACTTGGTAAGAAGCTACACGGTGAAGTTAAGAGAATCGTTTGTTGTTGATAGAGTAGTCTTAGTTTTTATTTTTTTAGTTACGTTTTCATCATAACATAGCGCGCACGCAAGGCCACCTGTATCCTAAGGGAGCTACCATCAAAAATCCTTATTTATCATATAAATTAAGGTGTTATGCAAGGATTTCTAGTCCTGACAAAAGCCGCAAATGGTAATGGCTAAGAACGAAAATCGACAACTGGAAGATTTTACATAGGCCCATTTTGGCTGTTTACCTGAGACTTCTTTTACGGTAAGAAAAAAGTCAATAATGGAGAATTTTGTAAATTTAAAATTCCGCCTACTGTTGGTTTTTGTAATCATGATTCAACGCATTTTTCCATCTTGAGCCTCAGTTAGCACCAACGCACTGCAGAATTGTCGATTCTTCAAATAATTTTCATTCCTTAATGAAGTCGGCTTTTCTTGTCAACAAAGCGCCGTTTTTTGAACAGTTGATATCAGTTTTAAGTGTTCATGTGTATCCGAATAGCAAATTTTAAATTCACAACCGTACACGCTCAGAATTTTCAAAATCTTCAACACAAGGGGGAGTATGTCAGGAGATTTGTGAAAATCACAGCCCCAGGTTTAGCTGCACCTGTTCTTACAAATATACTTGTTAGCATTGTGGTCAGATTACACATCCAAGAAACTGCAAAGATATCGCTGACAACGGAGCCTCAGAATCAGGAAAATACGATATTTTTGATTCCGCCAATAAACTGTTTTCTGTTTATTGTGACCTGCAGTCAGAACCTGGCTTTGTATGGGCATTGATACAATCGTTATCCTTTGCCAATAAGGCCACGTATTAGGATAAGGGGTTTGGCACGGATTTTCCTGTGAATGACAATAACAATGAACCGGACTGGAATTCTTACCGCCTTTCCTTATCACATATGCAGTCTCTCTCAAATCACTCCTCACATCTGAGAGTAACATGTAACATACCTGCAGATGAACTGTAATATACGGACTATGTACGCGCAGTTCTGGCGGGTCATGACATATTCGGTGACTGGGGTGGAGATTGCAAACTGTTTGAGTATATTAACATTCGTTCATTCCATTAAACAAGAATGGATCCTAATGGTGCTTGGTTCGTGAACAGTTTTAAAAGCAAGGAGAGAGAATGCGGGTTTGATGGATCACTAGGATTAGTTGACAACGAAAATAATTTTGGACGGTATCATTCCGGAGCGATAAATTCGAATCACCGCTGCTCCTCTTGGATCCTTCTACAACACAATACTAGTTTGGGATTAAACGTGAATAGATTGCATGTCAAACCGAAACAATATAGACAGCCAATTAGAACAAAATACGATATCACAGTAACCATTAAGAATTCAAAGAGAAACAAGGAGACCGTTGTAATCTGTAACTGTTTTTAGCTATGCATTGCTTTGGTAGGAGATTAGCCCGAGTTTTCTGTACCAATCCTGGCTCCCTTTTGAAAACAGGAACAAAATTGCTTTGTAGTAGTTGTTAAGTAATGACTCATGGCTTGTATGCGTAAGCTATCATACGAATATGTTCAAATACGCCTTATGAACCTTTAAATAACCTTAAATCTGTAATATACACATGCAGTTGATATAACATGATCCTAAATTAAATTAAAAAGCCTAAAAAATTGAAATATATTATCTTCAGGAGTTAGAACAATCAAGGGTATACACCGAATGTTTCATAGCTTAGGATGAAGACTGAGTAGCATAGTTGCATTAAGTTTGTTTGTATTGGACTTGATAGCTATAAGAAGGGGCAGCATCACATTTCATTTAATCGCCCGAATGCTGTTTCATCAATCTACGTACTCTCAGATACTAGTTTGATATTTGTATCGAGAGTGAAAGAGACGTTTGCAGTTAAATGACTCATAAACCGATCTCTTCTCCATCCTTGTAAATACATCTCAGGAGTCAGCAGGATTATAGAAGTCCACTTACATATTTTTGCACAAAGAAATCTTTACATCTTTGGAGTCGAAAACGACTCACTTTGTATCTATTGCTAAGAGGACGAGTCCACTATGTACCTGGTCGAAGGATTTGAAAAGTGGTTTAATAATACAAATACCCTCTCTTTCTCGCCAACCGGCTTCAGTCAAAATTTTCATTCAGGAAAGCCCCCTTTCGAGACAGATCTTACCACAAAAACTTTGAATTTTTCCTTCTTCTTTGCTAATTATTGTCAAGCCTGGCTTGAATGTCCAGTTTTGTGTAACATAAGTGAACAGGTTTCCTTGTGAATATTATGAAAATAAAGGAAGCTTCATACAACGAAACTATAAAGGATTACTCAGTTATTAGATGATTTCGAAAATTTTACTTTGTTATTGTGAGTTTGTTCGTATTGTTTTTGTCAAAGCTTGAAGTTATAGGAAGTTATTTTATAATTTCTTTTGGTATTTTTAGGATAAAATAAGTTGCCATCCGCAATCGAGTGTAAAATGGTAGCTTACCATTTTTATTGCGGAATTTTTATTGCGGAAACAACCATTGTTTTCGCTTCAATTTTGAAACTTTTCTAATTACCAACCAGAAGGCCCCCTTAAAGCTAAAAAATAGTGACACAACCTCTATCGTGTTCTGTTTATGAAGCGCTTTACAACCCTCACCGACAAAAAATTGATCGAATTTCAACCATTTACGATCATTTCTGGTTTCTAAATCAAGCATACTTACTTCACAAGTTAGAGGGAAGGAACGAAAATTTTAACCATGTAACATTTGTGAAGGTTTTTCATTGCAAAATAATTCCATTACACTAATTTCCTTAAAAAAATTACTGTGTTTGATTTATAATATCCGTGTTTGTTTTGAATTCCTGTCCGCCATATGCAGGTTCTTTTTCATGAAGTTTTTTCAAACGGGTAGGTACTGGTTATTATCGGTTTGGCACGGACGATCATTTTAAGGCCTGGCTGTGTGTCTTCGTTTGGGGTGAATGACTACCGAAAAAAAGATAACAACTTAACATCAAAATTAATGCTTAGAGAAACAGTAAAATTGCTTCGGGTTATACTTTATTTCAGTGTTATTACTATTATTTTTAGTTTTGATCCCCAGTAGATTCCTCAATGGTGAAGTCTGACCTTAATCTCTCCTTCTCTAGTTGACGATTTTAAACTGTGAATGGATGGCATGCGTTCTTGGATAATTCATATCTTTCGGCTCCTGTTCAAAATATTCTTTATGTGAAGGAGTATCAATGATAACAAGTGTCCAATATTATCATCTATGTTCCTTATTTGCACATCTTTCTAGAGAAGGGTTAGAGTTTGAGAAAGATTTTGTGATATTTTACCTTTTTTTCATGCAATTTTTTAAATTTATGAGTGAAACTTTACACATCGTTGGGCCATTGAAACTTCGAATGAAATATCAGTGGCAAAGTGTACTGATTAAACAAGTAACAATTACAGATAATTAGGGAGCTCGGTGCCTTATTTTGCTACCATTCGTTTGTTACATGTGATTTATAGGGATTAGTGCTTGTATAATCATATTTCCCTCAGTCCAAATAAAGCACCTAGGAGCTCAACAATGCTAATCAAGATATGAAGCCATTAGCGATAAAATTTTGAGAAGGAAGAAATTACCATAATCAGGAGAGGACCTGCACCGTGCAAAAGGTGAAGTGAACTTAAGAACAAGTCTCTGTAAGAATCAAACATCTTGGGAAATGAAAATTTTCAACCCCCTTCAAATTTTGCATGCACTTAGGCACTCAGGGGGATGCACAAAAATGCCCTTTTTAAAGTTCGCAGCACTCTTGTTGCCATGGTAACAACGGCTGCTTGTTCAAGGCTCGGAGCCTCATTTTCATACAAAAACGTCGCAAAAAAAAGAGTGAAATGTTTATTCCTCTATCTCAAGCTAAATACAACACTACAAATTGGCACTTCTACCATATATAGTGACATCATTCGTCTTCACTTTGATTCATTCAATTTTCCCTGAGAGTGAATGTGAAGACACAAATAAATTATTCATCTCGGTACGGTGCGGTCATTTTTGTTGTCGGGTAAAACAGGGAAAACGTTTATCTGAATTTCTCCAAAAGTACACCTATTCTGGAACTGAAACTAACCACCTAGCTGGTTATAATATTCTAGTTTTTAAATATGTAAAAATCTCTGCGGGCCTGCCTCTACTTTTTATAGGGGCAATTCGCAAAAAAAGCTCAAAATCAGATATTGCACAATTTGGCGATGTTTACATCTAATGTTCTCAACAACAAATGTTTCAGACAAATGAAATATGCATGGCTTTGGAAGAATATTCTCTTATGAGAAATATCTCTGAGAGAAATCTCGCCTCTGGTTGTCATCTTTTAAGTATCAAACTTCTTGGAGGACTACTCGACATAACTACAAACATATACCTCAAATCGTGTGCATATCATCCAGATTCCGAGTGCTGCACCTTCTTTCATGGGAATTTGAGTGATCTGAAGTCCTCTGAAGATACACTGGTATACTCGTATGTCATTTGAAACAAGTTGAAGTCGGCTGATCTACACGAAACTATCCTCATACCGGTCATTTGTCATAAACATGTACGTTGTCACGTTGGCGTGACGCTGTATTTCTCTATGAAGTTTCTATCGATCGCCCCAAAGAAGACGAGAAATGGAAATTTTGGGATATATCAGCAGATTTCCGCGCATTCTAAGTAAAAACAACAAAAAAAAAAAAGAAGAAAACCTCAATTGAACGCTCGTAAACACTGAGAATCTAAGAGCAGAAATCGCAGCTTGTCAGCGGCAGTACTACATGTAAAACCCAGTCGTCACAATAGCAATTTGTACTACTCGCGCGAAAATTATCACAAAGTGGAGATTTTAATCTACTAAGTATCCCAGCAGTACAGAAAACGGAACAGGGATTTCATCACAATCAATTTCCAAAATTTAGCTTTTTTCAAGGAGTCTTTCACGTGCTCGAACGTTATATTGGCTTTGAGCCTTGAGATTTATTTCCCTTGACAATGAAATGCTATAGAAAGTACTTACAAAATTACCAAGGAACTATTTTTGATGTCGCTTGGACCGAGAAATACAGATTTGAAATAATTAATGCTGTCACTGATGAACCAAAGGGCACAATCTTTTCAGCTATTAGCCTGATAGTCTCCACAGACTAACGTTATTAGACCGAAGGATCTCCTTTTTCTTCCTGGTGAGCCGGCGACCTCAGGGGAAAATTAAAGAGACCTTTGACTTCCTCTCGTGTAAAACACTGGGAGATTGCGTTATATTCATCTTTCTTTAAACTTGTAAAAGATATCCGGGGGAAAAGTATGGAAAATAATGGTGATGAAATCGCTGTTCTTTTTCCCGAAGGACATGAAGCAATCCAGATTACATATTAATCATGGGGAGTTTCGTTCAAGTGACAAGTTGCGATTTGCGTGTGGATAATAAGTTGTTTGAAAGGTGGAATTATGACATTATGATTTCATTAAATCTTTTATTTCGAATTTTGTTATGATTTTTTCTTTATCAAGACATGGTG